CTCAAGAAACCCTACGGCAACAAATTTATGGAGTGAAGTGGGGAGTTAAGAGAGAGGGCGTGGGGTAGTTGAGAAGACCTATGAATCAAATTAGGTGATGTGATGTTTTCCCCTCCTTGGGCAGCGGCGGCAGCAGGTTGTGTCACTTCTTATCCAAAAATAGGATGAACTAAGATTTCAATTTTCATCCCATTTTTTAAGGGGGCAATATATTAAAGTGAAGCCCAAGAAAGTAGGAGGCAGCCCAGGTTGAAGTCCGGAGGCCCAAAAAGCAACTTGAGAAGTGGAAGAGCAGAGGAAGAATGAGCTTGGTGGTTGCAAAAAAGCCCACCTATGAGAAGACAACTGTAGAAAATTGCAAATGAAGAGAAAACATTGCGGGAAGCTCGGGGGTTACATGGGAAAGATTAATGAATGATGACTAAAGAGAGAAGTTACTCCCATTCAAATAATGAGGAGTTAAGAGATTCAATTCCTAGTGGGAGTTTTAGTCATGCTGAGTCATCAATGAAGTGGAGGTTTTGAGAGTTATAAGAGGAATTGATGGAGAACTTCAATAAATTCGAAGGAAAAGGTTAAAGGGAGGCTATAAAAAAATATGGGCATCATCAAAGAAGGGGTCCCCAACCAATATAATTTCCATCTTTTATATTTTATTTTCCAGTATTTTTACCTTTTCAATATTTTAACTTTTTCGCACTTTACCAGCTTTTAATTTTCATTCTTAAGTCTATTTCTTTCAATCTCAATCGGCGGAGAGTCTTATAATCCCAAATTTCATAGACACGAAACGATCACCTAAGGGATTTCTAGAGTACCTTAGGGAACCCTTCACAGTACTCCGACCGGCTTTATCAAACCGTCAAGAGACTCGAATATACAGGTTTCCGTATACAATAATATATAAGATTAGATGGATAATAAAAGAAATGGGCCTAACTAAGTCATATGGAATAATTAGATCGAATAATTTAAAATTACTGAGTTTTTTTTAGATGTACAGTATCAATGAATTCTGGTGTTGAGGCAAAGTTATGACTCCATAGCCCCTCCCCCCGCCAGACACATGCTTGGCTGAGACCAAGTTAAGCTTTGATAAAAATCAATCAATTCGGAGGGGCCAAGAGACTTTGTAAAGACATCGGAATTTGAACAATGGTAGAAATATGAACAAGGTGTAAAAATCCTTGAGTGAAATGCTGACGAACAAAGTTACAGTCAATTTCAATATATTTCAATTGTTCATGGTGAATCAAATTTTGGACCAAATGAATGGTAGAGAGGTTATCACAATATAAGTATATCATAACGAAATTGAAATGTGAAAATCTTGAAAAAGATATGTGATCTAAAGAAATTCAATAATAAAGGAAACGAACATCCTAAATTTTGCTTTCAGTTGAGAAGTGAGAGACAATTGATTGCTTCTTTGATTTCCAAAAAAATTAGGCAAATAAATTGCAACACTCACTTAATGACATATGAGTGCCTAAGAAGCCTAACATAGAGAAAATAAAAAACAATTTAGCACTAATGTTATCTCGAAGATAGAGGTGAGCAAAATATTCGAAATTCAAAAATTAAATCCGAATTAAATCAAAATTTAAAATCTGGTTCAAATTTTTCGGGTGGTTCAGATTAAAATTTTTATAAATTTCGAATTTTCAATTCGGTACACTAATTTGAACCAATCTAAAAAATCTGAAATATAATCTTTCAATATATTTTATTATTATATATATATTTATTATTTTAATAAAACTAAAAACTCAAAATTGTTAATTGTATTTTAATATACTTATTTTCATTTATTATATATATTTAATATTATAAAATAATTATAAAAATATAAAATAAAATTTAAAATTTATAAAATAATAAAAAAAATTAAAATTTTAGATTATTTAAAAATTGTCGGTTCGGTTTGGATTTTTAATTTGGATTTTGGATTTTTGGTTCAGTTCAGATTGACTTTTTTTAAAAATATGGATTTTCAGATCGGTACGTATTTCACCAAATCCGAATACTCACCCCTACTCAAAGATTTTCGAAATTTTTTTTAGGTGGCATTCTAATGCTTAATTGTGGATTATATAAATTGTTAGAAAGCAAATGTAATATCTGGCCGAGTGATAGTGAAATATAATTGTCAACCAATTAATCTTTGAAAGATGAATCTTGAGAAAATGATAAAGGACTATCCACTTTGGCTTGAAGCTTGGTCCCTATTACTACATAAAATCCGATTCCGTGATGGAATTTCATGATGGAATTATTATCCGTCGTAATTAGCAATAAAATTTGTTTTAGATGAGAAAGACTGGTCGCCCAAACGATTTTAGCGACGGAAATGATTCATCAGTAATAGCAAAACAATACTTACGAACGGATAGAAGATGGAGGATGCTTTACCGTCGCGTATTTTGCGATAATACATATTCTTTCGCAACTGTAGGCGGTTTCAGGATGACTATTATTTCTTTCGCCAATTCGCGAATGAATTAAAAACAAAAATTAATTCCATCTCAAGGCTCAAGTTAAATAAACGTAGCAGTAAGCTTCCCTCTCGTCCGATTTTTTAATTTTATATAGTATTATATTTGAAATTTTTTAAAAAATATCTTTTTATTATTTTTTTTGTTATTTTTCATTTCATAAAAATATTGTATTTTGTTAATATTTTTTCTATTATAGTTAAGTAGCACTGTATAATTTTTCTTTTTTTTGTTATTGATCTGTGGTGTTTTGAAGCAATACGAAAAACATGGTGTGATTTATTATAGTATGAATTTGCTTTTTCGTATTATTTTGTTTTATGATTCTTATATCCCGTATAGGCTAGCATGTTACTCCCTCTGTCCCACCTACCATATTCACATTGTCGTTTTTGTCCGTCTTACATTCCATGTCACTTTAATCTCATTTTAAATTTTTTAATTTTTTTTTTAGTTTTAATTAAACTAATTAGTTATTTTAACCTTAATCTATAATTATTTATATTATAAAATAATTATTTTTACTAATACATTTTTAATTATCTACTAATTATACTTATCCTAAATTTTTGTATCTACAGTGACTCAAACATCCAACGTGAGACGAATGAAGTATTATTTAATACGCATGATGTTGAATTGGGGTTTGAAAATAGAGTGAAAAATATATAAAGTAATGTTGGTGGGAATGGCATGACTCTGATTTAGCGCCATGATTTTTTTTAGCACACTTGGTTTTATATGACTTAAATTTGTAGTCGTAGTATGTAATTATCTATTTGTGTCATGCTTCACCGATTTATATTTACTTATTAATTGAGAAAAACTTAAGAGAATATAATTCCTAGCCTAGAAATCATAAATAATACGAAAGTTGAATTCTATATAAATCCATGTTCACTTACAACTTTCATCAGAGACAACATCACATATGAATTGGTATGCGGATCATCAACATGCGAACGCATATAGATCTGTCACCCTTGTGACTATGCAGCGTGCAAAGAGTCGGATGTTGGATACCCATTATATGAAGTCGAGCAAAGGAATGTCAGGTTGAGATTTTGGATAGGTTTGGTTTCAACAATTTGACTAGTCAAGAAAGTAATACTCATGCTAGCTTATAGTTGTAACACCATACAATCTCGCGCTGAATATATGTATACCTTTTAAACAGAAATTTTTTATTTCTATCTTTTTTGGTACTCGATAGGGCAAACCCCAAACAAAACATAGATGTATACTTGTAATTGTTTATTGAATAATTGAAAGGTTTATGAAACATCATAGGTCATGGAACAAGATAATATTCAAAAAGTGTACAAGGACATCCCGTATAAAGGTATGACAATCAATAATCTTTTAATTATATTTTTATTTTAATATAAATAATATGTATAATGTTTATGCTATTTACCTGTGATACCCCTGAGTTGGGCCAGTGCTAGGGCAACTCCTCTGTATGGATAAGTTGGTGTTAGGCCATCCAAGATAGAATAGAGATTGAGTTGATTGAATATACTACTCATGTTAACAATGTGTACATTTATTTTCGGGAACCCTACTAAAGAGCTTTAGAATTAAATATGATTACCCTAGAATAATTTGAGAATGAGTGACCACTTGGAAGTCTTCAGACGTGCGCGTGATTAAGGACACAAAGTATGTTAAAAACTTCATGTTGACCTATGAAGTCAGTCTAATCCCGACATGCCCAGCCAATTTGACTTCTGGGCAGTGTTATTATTTATTTATTTAAAAAATTTTAAACATAGAATAAAACCTTAATTCTAAATCAAATTTTTCTTCGCATTTGTTTCTCTTACAATTCTTTTTATAATCGAAACTATTGTTAATCACCATCACATCAAACTATTGTCAATATTTGATTGTTCTTATTTTTAGAACTATAATTTTTTGCTACTTTGACATATTTTTTTTAGTATTAAATTATATTTTAAAAAAAATTATATTTTGTTATTTTCTTTTAAAAAAAATAGTTTGTTGGGTTAGCTCCGAAATCGAAGGGTTTGGGGCAGGACGGATCCTGGGGCTATGTCGAAGCAGGACGGGGCGGGTCTTGGGTCTTAATATTTTCTAGCGAGAAGGGTTTCGAGGCCTGCAAAACCCGTCTCGAACTCACAGTGTTGACATCCCTAGCAAAATACATTATAATAATTATATTAATTGTATTGTTTAAAAGACAGAAATTGTGATAATTCATATTTTTTCTCTTCAGCACATGCCGAAATAATTAATTGAGCACTTGATGGATTCTCTTTCTTTTTAAGTTTGTAATTTCATTTGTTATCATCAGTTTCATTCTAATCATATTTTCTTCTCTCCACCAAAAGTTTTCTTGTTTTTTTCACTTTTTCCTTGTGTTCTTTTCTTCCTCCAACATAAAAATATTTGGTTAAAATAAATATAACGATTGATAAATGAGACGAAAAAATTGACATACAATTTTGAACCGATGTTCGGCCAACAAAGACAAAAGGAAAATGAAAGAATATAAAGAGCATAGCCATAAACCGGGAAAGAATACTAAACTTGACATCTACGGCCATAGTTCCCGACATATATATATCAAACTTACCACGTTAGGAAATGGAACAACTATCGATCCAAATTCAAGTCAAGTTCTTTGGTTTCCTACATATATATAAAATATGCTTCGATCCAAGAATGTACAGTTCCATTGTCATCCTATATTCCCCATGGTCGTCATCGACATGGACCACTCCGAGTCTTGAGTGCTCAAACTGGGGCACGGCCTTTTCTTAGCCTCGACATTGGGTAATGTGCAGTCGCCCAGTCGGGCAGGGATGCGCGTCAACTCACTGGGAGCCTTGACTGGTTCAGAGAGGTCTTGAACCGACCGGTTGTCGTCTAGGAGTTTGCATGCTTTCTCCAAGATCGCCTCGAGGTATTTCCCCTGTGCTTCCATTCGGATCTGGAGATGACGTTGGACCTGATGGAACTTTTATGTGCTTAGTTTAGTTAGAACAACATAAGAAGACATGATGGAAATTAGAAATGGAACTAGTTGCCAAATCTAAGGTCTATAGGTTCAACTTCCATTCTAATCAAATGTGTTGGTTTATATATACTCCATTTGCCATGGAAAAATAGACTTACTTTCCTTTTTTGTCGGTCAACAAAAATTAAGTTAGTTTCTTCTTTAGAAAAAAATCATACTCCCTTTGCCATAAAATAAAAAAAAAGGAAAAAGAAGAAAATAGGCCGACTTTCTTTATTTGTTTGTCATAGAAAAGAAACAAGACTTGTTTCCTTTTCTAGCAAAACAACCGTACCATTTTTGGCCCTTGTTAATTCCTCTCTCCATTCCAGCTAATTTGTGTTCTCTAGCTTAGCCACACAGTTTTAGATATTATGTAATTAATAAGTAATTAAAAAATGGCAACGGTTACGGTGCTTAATCTCAAATTCAGCACTGTGTTGAACATCACACATATAACTAGCAAACAACACACCGTAATATAATATAATACATGTGCAACCCATCAATTAACAGAACACAGATAGTTAGCAAACAACACACGATAATGTCAGTGACAACACATCATTTATATTCATATAATACAAACACAGCATATAAACTAACAGCACATGGCATAGACTCGCACAGCACATGCTGCAATACATTTCATAAAAAATATATTAATAAAAATAATTATGATTTAATAAAAATAATTGTAAATTAAGATTAAGATGACTAAATAATTTAATTAAACTAAAGAAAATTATAAATTGTGAAATATAATTAAAGTGTATAATTATATTTTCAAAAAAGAAAAAAACAAATTATGTGAGACAAATAAAAATAGAAAGAGTGGACAAATTAGATGGACCGAAATATTTTTTTTCTACTTTATTTTTCTATAAAAGACAAAAGTATACACTTACATTAAAATCCCTACCCAAACCAAATAAGCTTATTTTTACATAACAGTGGTAGTATCACTTTTTACTATTTATGTTATCCTAAAACACAAAAAATACACACCCCATTAAAATTCATACCAAAAGTAAATGAGCTTATTGAGGGAAATACCAAATATCGAAACATATGACGAAAAATCTTTCTTAAGCTATAAAGCAGCTATCAAATTTATTCCCTAGCTATTCTCATTTTCATTGCGGTTTCCTAATAAGAATGATCCCAAAGATTGAAGAGTTCAAACCTCAAGCTGCTCGTGCAGTCTCCGCTGAACCTCCATTTGGACGCGCAAAGCCTCCGTCACCTGGTAACCACTGGTAAAATGTGAAAAGATAACTATATTTGCATACATGAAAATAAAATACTTTACGAAAGAAAGTTTTTTCAAGGGATGAAGTACTCGTTTATATCTTGCACCATCATCCTCGACGACGCAGTGGTAGATGAACCTGCATCCTGACTCTCGGCAAGGCCCGATGCTGACAACAATAGTAATGACACGTCAATTATGTCTTTTCTAACCGGTAACCATTCAGTAATCAACAGTGGTTTCATTCATATGGATAAGAGAAAATTTTCTTAAAAAAGAGAAAAGGTAAAATTGCTTATTAACTCCCTTGTAGTTTTGAAATTCAGTATAAAATTTCTCTGTACTTTTAAAAATTGCATAGCACAACCTTACACTTAAAAAAAAAGTTGATAAAACCCCACTGCTATAAAACTTCCATTGTGTGATGAGAAAATGATTTTCTATCTATATATTTTGCATGGTGGGGGTTTCATATAACATTTTTGAAAATATAAGGGTGCATCATACAATTTTAAAAGTAAAAGTGGAGATTACACTGAGCTTTGAAATTACAAAGGGTTTCATGCAATATTTTTTTTAAAGTATAAAGGATGCCACACAATTTTTAAAGTAAGAGGAGATTCACGCTGAGTTTTGAAACCAAGAGGGAGTTATGAACAATTTAGTCTAAAAAAAATAATAAGAAAAAAGGGAACTTCTTGGCAAAAAAATGGATCTATAATTTTGATATTCGCATTCTACTCGGTCTTTCCTTTGTCTGAAAGATTCATATCATAGGCATGTTTGTGCAAAAGCTTGTTCTTATAATTACTTAGGACGAGAAGTTAAAATGACTTCAAATTTAGCAGTTGGAATGCTTGCCAAAAAGGTATCGACATTGCATAACATCAATAGAGTCCGTGATATTTGAAGCAAGCAATCGTTATTACGAAATAAGTGAAACTAGGCTGGGCTGATCAATACCATCTTTTGAGTCATCGGTCAGCTCCTTGTTTGCTTGCTTGCCCAAGCGATACTTCTGCAGTGGAAAATTACGATAACATCAATTCATACTTATAGGTAATAATAGGTCATTCACTGATCTTACTTAATCCTATAATGTTACAACGTAGGATCTTGGAACAGAACGACGAACCTGCAGATGAGACTTCAAATGGTACAAGGTCAAGCCTTTTACTCCCATTGTCCTCATAATTGTTTTCGGCGTCGCTTCTACAATGCAAGAATTGAATTAACATCATTTTCTGGTCATGATATATGTTTGTGTTTAATGTTCACGAAAATTTTCATTCATCTGCACAATTTGGCTTCAAGTAGACAGACAGAAAATGAGATGAGCACCAAATCGAGATTGAATTCAAGGCATATACAGGTGAACAAGAACGAACTATGGGTATGTATCTATGCATACCAAATTTAATGGATCCTACAAAAAATTTCATTACAATGCAATAGAATCAAGAGTGATAATGGCAACTAAAAAACACTGGCATTTGATCGAACATGTTGTGTGTTCGAAATCAGAGAGCCATTACTGTTTTGGTTGCACATTATTATTATTATTATTATATTATTATTATTATTATTATAAGCCTCATTAATAAAGTTGCATTGCAGCCTCCAGCAATCTTATTAAACTCTTAACATGTAAATCGGTTTGCCTGACTGATAAATTAGATGTGAAAATGTGAAGTCGAATTTGTGAGGCAGGAAAGGCTAAAGCAATGGAAAAAAATTAATTAATAAAAAAAAAACAAAATAGTGAGAATGAGACTGACTGTCGGGGCCACCGAGCTGCGTGACGGCGTCGACGAATCTGTCGTGGAGCTCGGCGGTCCAGCGGAGGCGCGGCTTGGGATCGGTGGAGAGAAGCAGGCACGCATCCCCAGGCAAGTTGGTGCCATCCAAAGGGCCGCCTCCGCCTCCATCAATTGCCAAATTGTGAATTGGCAGAGACGAAGAATACATCATTGCCACCACAATCCTACAATCTCAGCCTCAGCCTCAGCCTCAACCTCAGCTCATCTCATAACTATTATTCTTTGGGGCTGACGGTCGAGACACAGACACAATTCTATCCTATTCGATTGTATTGTATTCTGGTGCTCGTTTCGTTTGTGTGGTGATTCTGAAGCTGTGAAGGCGAAGAAGAAGAAGAGGAGGAGGAGAGAGAGAAAGGGCAATAATAAGTAAATAATAATAATAATAATAATATGGTGGGGGAGGGAACAAGACAGCGATGTCTTGTTCTGTTCTGTCTTTGTCTGATATTTCAGCAGTCAGCACTGTATTTATCTGTCATTGTCAGTCTGGCCTTCCTTGCTCGCAACCACAAACAAATATACATATATATACGGATATATGTATGTATGTATGTACAGTCTGTATGCATAAATTTGTAGTAGGTGCGCTGTAGTGTGGCGACTGTATGTTATGTGGTGTGTGAGAGAGAGAAAGAGATGAGAGAGAGAGAGACTAGAGGTAACATGGAGCTGTACTGGCATTGCCGTATATGATTTCGTTTTTTAATTTTTTTTTAGTATGGACTGCTTTTTTATGTTTTTTTTTCAAATAATGGTAACATTTTTACTTCTTTTTGTTTTGTGTAATAAAACGGTATGCCGCCGTTTCAATATAATTTATCCATTTTAAAATAAATGATATTTGTTCGTCCGTCTATTAAATTATATTTTTTTTTTTTTGTCTATTTGATATTAAAAATATTTTTATAAATAATTATATTATTATTATTATTATTAATATTATGAAACATTAATAAAATTATTTTTATAAGTTTTATTAATTTCTATTACATTTTGATATATTAATTAATATTTAAAAATCAATACCCGAAAAATAAATGAGATCTTAGCGGGGCGGACGAATGAGTACCTTTTTATTTGAATATATGCCATTTTACTTGATACTATCTCTTCCCTTTCATAATAATTAATATTTGTATTTTTTGTATGTAACCATTGCTATTTTTCTATTTTATGTAAAAATTACAAAAGTAAACTGGTTTTTTTAGTCTCTTTTACTGAAGTATGTTGCAAACTAGTCTATAAGTAGAAAAGGTTTTGCAATTTTGGTCGTCCGGTGTCGAAAATGCTTAAGTGGCACCCATGTGGTTTGCCGGAGGACATGTGTCTACCAAATCAGCAGCATCTAGCGGATACGTAGATTTTTATATATTTTTTTATTTTTTAAAAATTTTAGTTTTGAAATTTTGTTTAATTTTTACAAAAAAGATGAAATAAATAAATTAATTTTTTTAAAAAAAATTCACGTGTCCGCCAGGTGTCGCTGACACGTATTCTCCGGCGAACCACGTGGGTGCTACGTAGACATCTCCGGCACCGGAAGACTACAAGTGCAAAACGTTTTTACTTACGGAACTAATTTGCGACGCAATTAAAGGAATAAAATAATAATTGTTCCATTAAGGAATTAAAAAATTAGTTTATCCAACTTCTAAATCAAAATATATTTAAGAAATATAAAACTTAATTAACTATTATTGAGTAAGAAAAAACCAATGTATAGGGTTTCTTGATAATGGGCTTATAAATTGGATTGATGTATAGTCTAATGGGCCTGATAATGGTAGTAGAGTCTTAAATGAAGTAGGGCGAAGAAGGATGAGACGGCCGATAAGGAGGTCGGACAAGATGAAGTCGGGCAAAGGAGGATGAGACGGCCGATACAGAGGTCGGACAAGATGAAGTCGGGCAAAGGAGGATGAGACAGACGATGCAAAAGTCAGACAAAATGAAGTCGGGCGAAGAAGGATGAGACGGCCGATAAGGAGGTCGGACAAGATAAGGTCGGGCGAAGAAATATGAGACGGTCGATACGGGGGTCAGACAAGAGGAAAGTGGGCTTCTAGGGGCCCATTTGGAAGAAAGGTCTGTTAATTAGTCGCTTAATTAAGCGACCTGTTAATCGTCTGATCGATTCGCCGGTCATTTGGTCAAACAGTAGTTCAGTCGCTTGAAAGGGCGGTCAGTTGGTCGCTTGATTGGGCGACCAATGAATCGTCTGGACGAACGGTTGTTCAGCCGTTTTAAGGGACTGGATGGTGGTCGCTTGATTGGGCGACCGATGAGTCGTCTGGACGAACGGTTGTTCAGCCATTTTAAGGGACTGGATGGTGGTCGCTTGATTGGGCGACCGATGAGTCGTCTGGACGAACGGTTGTTCAGCCATTTTAAGGGACTGGATGGTGGTCGCTTGATTGGCGACCGATGAGTCGTCTGGACGAACGGTTGTTCAGCCATTTGAAGGGACTGGATGGTGGTCGCCTGTTTGGGCGACCGATGAGTCGTCTGGACGAACGGTTGTTCAGCCGTTTGAAGGGACTGGATGGTGGTCGCCTGTTTGGGCGACCGATGAGTCGTCTGGACGAATGGTTGTTCAACCAATTGAAGGGACTGGATGGTGGTAGCTTGATTGGGCGATCGATGAATCGTCTGGACGAATAGTTGTCCAGCTGTTTGAAGGGACCGAATGGTGGTCGCTCGAATGGGCAACTGATTAGTCGTTTGGCCTAGCGACCAGTTAGTATCTGGATTGGTCGGTTGGTCAATCGTTGGGTTATTCGGTAGGTTCAGTCGATGGATGGTCCAGACGGTTTCTCAGTCGGATGGTAATTTATGATCCGTCTGATAAGACGGTTAAGGGAAGTTACAACCGGCGAGCGGATCGAACAAGTGGAAGGCGGGCAAGAGGAGACGTAGCAGCAGGTGTGCTGGTCGGACGATAAGCAGTTCTAAGACGGTTGAGAGAAGTTACAACCGGCGAGCGGATATGAAGGCACGACTTGGTTGTGGCGGTTGACATAGGTTTTAAATAGGTCTGTTGATGACCTAAAGAAACCATCTTCAATCGACATCAAATTCAGTGAATTTCTTTTGGGGATCACCATTTTACTTTTACAGTCTGTAGTATTTATTTTTCTTATTTTACTTATGTATCGTACGGTGTCTAGAGATTCTTCATCTCAGACATTTTATTTTATCAAATTCGAAGATAATTTCTATTTTCGGGTTTTACTTTTTATTGTTGAAAATCGGCATCAACAATTTGGCGACCACAGTGGGAGAAAGGCAAGATTGCTAATCCTAGGTCAATAGAGAATTTTATATGACTGAGGTCCGGCCGAATCATCGGAAGGATCCATATGGCAGGCTCATAGCCCCAAATCTCTTCAACACCGGCGGGAGAAACCATTTCACCACCTGCCATGCCAAATGCAGGGGAAGTCCCCCAAGCACCCGCCGATTGAGTGTCTTATGTTCAACACTTGAACAATCAGCAAACTCTGGCTATGCAAAACATGTTGCGTGAACAACAAAACCTCATGCAGAATATGTTAGATCAAGCTTTATCAAGGGTTACTCTTCAACCCACTCAGTCACCACCAGGGATGTCACCATCCAGATTACATGCAAATTTTGCGGGGCCTTCATATGTAGATAGCACTCTTCTAAGTGCCACTACTAGGGTTGATAGGGGAAAGACTCATCTAACATACCTAAATAATGTTCCATTGGGTGTCAGAGCCGAACCAGCCTTCTCTAGGGAAGAGAGGTTGGGGGGTCAGGCTCATAATCCCATCCCAGCCGAGCCAGCCTTCTCTAGGGAAGAGAGGTTGGGGGGACAGGCTCACAATCCCATTCCTGTGTTCGATCCTATTCCACCCAAAGTGGATCCGGAAGATATTGCCCAAGTTCTGCGGGTGCATTTCGGAATGATCCTCAAACGGTGAACAGGCCAGCATATCAGAGGCCATTTCCAGAAAGAATCATCAATGAGCATCCTCTTCCGAGAAATTATAGGCCACTAGATTTCCACTCATTCTCGAGAGAAGATGGAGCCTCAACCATTGAGCATGTGGGACGGTTCACAGCTCAATTGGGGGAAGTAGGCAATAATTTGTTTCACAAATTACAGTTGTTCGGGTTATCTCTCACAAAAACGGCTTTTTCCTGGTTTGCTAATCTTCCGCCAGGGCAGTTGCAAACCTGGGAAGGCTTGGAAGTAGCTTTTCATGCAAGATTCTTTAATCCTCTCTCGACGGTCTCACTCACAGATCTCTTGGAGATTAGACAAATGCCAGAGGAGACCGCCTACCAATTCATAGAGCGGATACGGCTGATGAAAGGGCGCAGCTCAACAGTCATAGAAAAGAACGAAATGACCAACTTGGTGGTCAGAAATATGCATACACGGCTACGGGAGGCTCTAAATGTTCGAGATCTGGCCAGCTTAGCATCTAAAGCAGGGAGGTTGGAATCCCTCTTCATAGAGAAGGATCACAATTTTTGGCGGAACAAGGTTCAGCAGACGGCCAGCGTCGATACAGAGATGTATGCACCAGATGATGAACAGAGGAAAGGCGCTGACGAAATGGAGGCTGAAATCGTACACGGCAAGCCCTATGTATGTTCCAAATTGAAGCCCCTCCCAGGGGCAGAAGAGCGGGAACAACCGACGTTTGATGCATCTAAGGCAGATGAGATCTTCGATATTCTGCTAGCGGATGGTCAAATTCGTATCCCAAAGGGACAACGGTTGGTGGCAAAGGAAGAAATAAGAGGAAGGCCATACTGCAAATGGCATAACTCCTTTACGCATTGCACTAATTAGTGTACGCATTTCCGAAAGGAAATTCAGTGGGCCATCAAAGCTGGAAGGTTTAAATATGTGACGATGGGAGTATAACAATAGCCCTTCCCAAAAGTAACTACTGCAGTGATCTATGTGCATTCTTCACAAGACACACAAAGAGATGATGAAAAAGATACCAAGCGAAAGGAGCGTAAGCCAAATGAGCGGGAGCTTGATCAGGAGGATAAGGTCAAAATCTGTGAGACCAGGGTGGCAGAGAAATGTGACAAGAAAGATGGTTCCTTCCAGGTGGAATTGAAGGACAAAGTGGTGGTGCGAGATCGACCAATGCGTAGGCCACAACCAATCCATGACAAATGGAGCCGGAACATAAAGCCTTTTTCCGTAGATATAGATCCATAATTTTCAGGTATGAATCATACACAAATCCGTAATGCTAAACGCAGGTATGTAGCTCGACACAGGAGGCGAACAGACAAAGGGAATGAGAAGAAAGAGGTATCACCCAAAAAAAAAAGCTCAAGCGACCGACTACAGGCGCACGGGGAGAT